CACACAGGAACAATCACCAAAACAAGAGGAAAAAAAAAAAAAAATCTGGGGAGGAGGCAATAAGAAAAAAGAGGTAGAGTAGAATAATGAAGAAAAAAATGGGAAAATTGCAAAAAGAAAAACAAGGAATGGGTTTAACCATGAGAAAGAAAAAAAGTGGGAATCAGGAACAGGGAAGAGAGAAAAAGCTGAAAGCTAGAACTTGGGAAGGGAAGAATAAAGAATAGTAACAAAAAGGATGAAAATAATAATAATAATAATAGTAATAACTCTAAAACAGATAGCATAAACAAACTTAAAAAAATAATAATAATCTGGGCAGGGCAGGGCAGGGCACCCAGGCTCTGTCAGAGCACACAGACTGGGATGGAATTGCTGCCAACCCAGAATGTGGGTGGGAATGAGGGATGGCTGCACCTCCATTCACCAAAAGGGTGTTGGGTAAAAGAGTAACAAGGGTAATATCACACCTTTCTAGTTGTTCGCATCAGGAAAGTCCTTGCGGTTCCCAGCAAGTGAAGCCTATTCTTAGGTCTCTGGAATCTGAGAGAATGCTGTCACTTTAAATATCCAAAATGGTTGAACCACTTGTAAACATTCAAAATGGCTGCACCCTCCGGACAGACAAAATTCCACAGCTTAGTCCTTCTTCCTCTTTGCTGCTTCCCGTTTTGTTCACTGGCCACCAGTGCAGTCCTCCATGCAGCCCCTGGCTAGCAGGGCTGATTTTTAAGTTAACTCTTAGGTCCTTACACCACTTGGCAATATCCAAGCTGTCCCTGCCATCAGGATTACTGATAGACCGCAGCTCCATATGCCTCCTTTCTTGGTGCTTTCATGCAGGTTCTTCTACTAGTTGGAGTTTAGTCCAGTTCTGTATCCTTCCTTTCAAAACTCAGGGCTCCAGGATTATCTTCTGTATCTATATTAATTGGTTCCCCTTTTCTTTGTTGGGGCACTCTGGTGGTGCAGTGCTAAGGCATTTGACTGCTAACCAGAAGGCTAAAGGTTCAACCCCACCAGATACTCCTCAGAAGGAAGGTTGGGCAATCTACTTCCATAGTAATATTGCCTCAGAAATCCAAGGAGGGGTTGCTATGAGTTGGATCTGACTCAACAGCAGTGAGTTTGTTTTTTTTTTTTTTTTGGTTTTTTCTTTGTTGAAGATGGTCTGTGTAGTTTGTCTGCCTATTCCACCATCTTACTGGAACTCCCAAGCCAGGAAATTCTTAAGAATCTAAGCTGCCCTAGCCATATGGAAGGCTCCTCTTGGTGACCCATAGCTTCAACACCAGTCCATAACCTCTTCCTGACGGACTCTCACCTGCATGATTTCTGCTCCTGGCACCTTGCCCTGTTGCTGTACTTCTGCCCATTTTTCCTCATGAGGAGGCAGTCTGAGGATACAGGCAGCATGATAGATAAGACTCTGAGAAGGGCAGGGATGGAGGAATTGAACACAGATCACAGTTCAGGGCTAACTCAGGGTTTAGGGCAAGAAGAATCCAGTTTGCTAGCCAGGTAATATGGCAGAGAATCAGGCCTGTGGCTCTACTGTGGAAGATGAATGCAAAGTTGACAGGGTAACTGCCAGGGATGTGAGGGCCAGGCCAGGCCCAGCAGACACCTGAGGTGCAGATGGAATAAAAGCAGGCTTCCCAGAGGAGATCTGTGGGCTGGCCCAACAGGAGACATGCCCACTGAGAGAGCTGTAACTCAGGTACCCAACTGGCCTGTGATACTTAAGGTTGTGTGTCAACTTGGCTGGGCCATGATTCTAAGAGGTTGAACAGTTATGATGTATTCAATCCTCATGATGAGATCTGGTATAATGTAATCATATAGTTATATAATGGTTTAATGTAATCATATAGTTCTAGTTATCTGGTATAATGTATGATAGCTGGGGTTATGTGTCAAGTAGGCTGGACTGTGATTTTGAGTGGCTTAAGCAGTTGTGATGAGGTTGTTCCCATGATGAGATCCGATGTATATGCTTTGAGCAGCCAAAGAGTTGAAAAGGAGTTTCCTTAGGGGTGTAGCCTGCTTCCAAAATATAAACGGATGTCCTGGGAAAATTTGGGAACCTTCTGTGGATCTAGATCCTGTCGTGCCACCTACAACTGTCCAGTGAACCTGCTGAACTTGGATTCATCATCCATTAAAGTCAGCAGCCTGTTATGTTGTTGTTATGTGCCATCGAGTCAGACCCGACTCATAGCGACCCCTCCTTGGGTTTCCAAGGCAATATTACTATGGAAGTAGATTGCCCCATCTTCCTTCTGAGGAGTGGCTGGTGGGTTTCCACCGCCAGCCTTCTGGTTAGCAGTCAAGTGCCTTAGCCACTATGCTACCAGAGCTCCCGCAGCCTGTTATAGTGCCTGCCAATCTTGAACTCATCAAGCCCCTGCAGCTACGTGAGTCAGGAAACACCTCCAGCTTGACATTTGATCCAGGGACTTGGGTCTTGCCAGATCTATAACTGTGTGAGCCATTTTCCTAAGATAAATTTCTCTCTTGATACATATATAAGCTTTAATGGTTTTGCTCCTCTAAAGAACCCAGCCTAAAATAACCTCCATGATGAGATCTGCTATGAGCAGTCAGACAGTTGAAAGGGAGTTTTCTTCAGTGTGTCGCCTGGTTCCAATATATATGGAAAAGCTCTGTCAAAGCTCTCTGGCTTTTTGCTTAAGATCAGGAGAATCCTCCGGCTTGACATCTGACCCACAGACTTGGGACTCCACCAGCCTTTACAACTGTGTGAGCCATTTCCTTGAGATAAATCTCTCTCTTTCTATGTGTATATATATATACACATATACATACATATACATATATATATATATATATATGTATATGTATATATATGTGTGTGTGTATATATATATATATATATATGTATATGTATGTATACATACATATGTATATATATATACATATTGTGGTGGTTATGTTTGTGTGTCAGCTTGGCTGGGCTTGGTTGAGTGGCTGGGCAGCTGGTGGTAGTTATTCCCCATGGTAAGACTGACAATCAACTCCATGGTGGGATCTACCACAAGTAGCTGCTCTGGGTATGTGGTCTGCTTCCCATATATAAGAAGCAGCTTTGGGAATGATCTCTAGCTTATGGCATGCTTGGACCCTGCATGTAGCCTTGTCATTGTTCAATAGCCTGCCATGCTCTGCTGACCTTGGAACTTACAATGGACTTAAATTAATGGCCTGCCATGTGGTTTGGTAACATCGGGACCATGTATTTTTATCTGTCAACCTTGGGTTTGTCAGCCTCAGCAGCTAGCAGCTGTCTGAGTGAAGAAACGTTTCTAGTTCCAGTGGGACGGGAGCAGGAAGCACAGCTGGACCCCAAGGTTGAGGGGCTTTCACCCAGTCCCTAGAGCCTGGCACTTTGAACTTGGACTTAAAGCCTCCAAATTGTGAGAGAATAAACT